CAACCCCCCCTTTTTTGGGCGGGTTGTACTGGCGCTCCCTGTTGTTGCAAATGTCAGCAAAACGAGGGGCGTGTAGCAAAACCCGCCCAAAAAGAAGGGCGGGTCTTACTTCCCGCCCCTTTTGGAGGGGCGGGGGCGTGGGCGGGTGGGAGGGGGGAGGGCGGGTGTTTATCAATGCACCATCCTTAGAGTGTGAAGGAGAGGACTGAAAGGAGGCCAGACAAACATGCTGTACCATTAGGAATATTGAGCACGGTCAGTAGGAAACAATATGCAACATGTTCTTCATTGCAAGTTCGCATTCAAAGAAGTTGTGTCACACCACCAAGTGTGTATCAGTATCCAAAATAATCAGGCATTGAAGCAAGTCTTTAAAGCATTTATGCTGGTAGGATGCAATAACAGGATGCTCTGTTGCACACTGATCGACTTGCAGAAAAAGATCAAGTGACATCTCAATTTTAAAATTTTTCATACAGAGTTACTTGTGAAGACAGAAACTGCACACACAAATATCTGTATAAATGTGCGCAATGTTAAGATTTGACTGGACTAGGAGGATTTGACTGGACTAGGAGGCTTCAATCACCATTCTACTAGCTAGAATCATGGGACCAACAATATAATAAAAGTAATGTTTGCTATTGGTTTCCATTGAAGCAAAATAGCAAACCACGCAAGAAGGAAAAATAGTGATTAAAGCAGAAAGGATACATAGATTAAATTTAGAGCGACCAATCATTCAGAATGAAGCAATGAAGCGGAAAGCAGGAAAAATGATACATGAACATGGGAAGATATCTACAAGTTAGACATAAGGTAGAGTGGCAATGCTAGAAATACTATGTCAATCCCTTGCTGTTTGGAGAATCGTTAAGATATAATATTGGGCTGTAGTGAAATCGGAAGCTTAAGCCTGAACAGCACATGATTGTCGAATCAGTTGACAATTAGGGGGATACAGTTGCGGACGGCAAAAACCGACCCTGGATTTTCAGGATGTCCGAATAGTCGGGCCAAAAATTTCAGATTTTTTTTGAAATTTTCAGCCTTTTGAGCTGTTTGTAGCCTCCAAAGTGTAGAAAAAATACACTAGAATAGTAGATTAACGGTGAAAGTAGATGGTGAGGGTATACAAGGAGTATAAAACCATGTTCATGTATCACTTAAAGCCATAACTATGGGTTTAAGTATGGCTTAATCTGTGCATGTCCGATTATATGTACAGCTATTTCGGAAAAGCTTGTCCTTCCCTGTCGATTTTTTTTTTTTTTTTTGCGATTTTTTTTTTTTTTTTTTCTTGCTCCTTTGTATGTACATATAATTTCAAATATGCAAATACACAAAAGCATATTTCAAATGCCATCAACTGAGTTCTCATGCTCACGACCAGTCGGTCAAATCCCGGCCGGCTTTAGTTCATGGCCAGTCGGTCAAATCCCGGCCGGCTTCACCACCCACCCGCCAGGCAATCCATCCATCCAATCCTGCCAGCTTCCGATTGAAACTAACCGATCCATCACTTCCAGCATCACAAAATGAATTTCGATTTGCATGTCCTCGATCCAGCCCTTGATTCTGCCCACACACAAGACTCTACACTGGCCCCATTGCAGCAAACCCCTTACCACGGCCTAATCTTGGAGGACGAAGACGATGCAATTGATTCAAGCATAGAGGCACCGGCGGTTTCTGGAAGGCAGTCTTCGGGTAGAGGTCGCAAGAAGGCTAAATCGACCAGGAAAGAAGTCTCCGAGCCAACACTCCACATCTTGTTGGACTATTGCCTCTACGTTAATGTCCACAACCCGCAAATTTCGGACAAGCAACGTGCGGCATCCACGAAGGGCGACTGGGACAAGATTGTACCCAGCAAAGACAACTTGCCGTACTTGGACACCAACCTTATGCATAGACACTGGGACGAGCTTCAGGACGAAATTCTTCGGATCATTGGGAATAGCCAACGGAATCTCGATGTCTTCCTTGATCAAATCAGGAGGACAGACAATTTAAAATTCCATTTGTACATTTCAAACAGCCATTCATTTCCCTTCAGACGCGCATACTACTGTTCGTCTGATGAACAACTCCGGCCATTCGCTGAGGAAGTCGTCAAAAAGCCGCACCAGAAAGTCTTCATCCGAGTGATAATGGATGACCCGTCTGCGCAGGATAAGTCTGATTTTGCAAAAGAGAAGTCTGATAAACAGGTATGTGACAACACTTAGTTCCATTTTATTTCATCTGCTAACTTTGACTGTTTGTCTTTTTGTTGATAGAAAAAGAAGGTTGAAAAGATCCTTGCAATAGCGGTTGGTTCGGATAAAGAGCGTCTCCCGCTACAACGAGAGCAAGCTCGGCAACTACAGAATGTGAGTTGTATTTTTCAATATTTTTGATTGATTCCATGTGTTGGCCAGCTGACGTGGTTTCGGAGTTCATTATAGCCTCGCTCAGATGTCAGTGGGGACCCAACTGCTCCGTGGGTGGTCCGACTTCGGCAGCATCTTGAGCAGAAGTCAAATGCTAAGCCTTCGGAGGTCATTTTCTGGCCCCACAAGGACGATGCGAATTTGGTGCTTCGGGTGAACCATAACCGTTTATGGGCCTGGGCTAACGTGCTTGAGGCAAAATCATCCGGCCACATAACAGATGCCAACCGGCACGTTGACATGGACACCCCCCCGAACGGATCGACTTTCCAGTGGGAGCGTCGATCTGGAATATCTCCTTTGAAACATCGCGCAGCTCCAGGGAATTCTCATCAAAATGATGACTCACAAACATCGGTCAGGAATCCAGGTCGAATCAACAGCGTGCCTCGGAAATCCATTAATCATTCGGCCGCCAATACACTTGCCTCTGGTCTCTACTCAGGACCGTCTGCCTCTGGTCTCTCCTCAGGACCGTCTACGACGGATAGCACGCCAAGTCTGCAATTGCTCTCCCTTGACTCTGGTCGCAACACTCCGACATTGAACGGCCCAATCGTATTGAGTCCTGCAAGCCGTTGCAAGACTTTAAATTCGGACGCTGAACTCGAAGGTCGAAAGGTCGATGATGTCAATGCAGTCTCCAAAGGGTCAAGCGATTCAATCGAGTACATGAACAATATCTCGGTTGATTATGCCATGTCGTCGGGAAGGCCAAACGACACTGCACATCCAAGGAAGATGGCCCGAAGCCCTTCGGGTTATGGTACATGCGATTTCAGGTGCATGTCAGTCTGTCCACGCGATTCATCACACTCGCGGTCTCCAACTCGGAAAACTCGACTCGATCCAAGGTTACCCCTACTTCCAGCTGGCAAGAATCTCACAATGGATGACTTCTTGCGGCACTGCAACATTGACGTTGACGATCCAATGTGCCAGATCTTAATAAAAGGCCACGATTTGAAGCACTGGTCGTTTTTTCGGGGCAAGTCAGACGAGCAGTTAATGAGAATAGGATTCACACGAGGATTGGCCACTCATCTGAGTGATGGTGCAAGCGAGTTGGAGCTCACTATGGTCCAACATGATTTGAGTGAAGGCTAGGCCATTGGAACTTCATCAATTTTGTTCTCTCTCTCTTTTTTTTCTGTTGTATCTATTCTAACGACACATAAAGAGCAAGTTTTTTTTTATCAAGTTAGGCCGATCGGCCTCTTGTTTTTTTCTTGTTTCTTTCATGTGTTCTTTTTTTTATTGTTTGACTTCCGAGCTGATTCTCTATCTTATTGTCTGATCGATCTCTGAAACAATTCTTTGTCATATCTCTTATCGGGTGATTTCCAGATTGATTCTCCCATTGAATGAATGAATAAATCTATCTGTTATCTGATCTGAAACAACAAACTCTTGATGATCTTGATCGGGTGCACTCATTTGAAGTCTCACTTGTCTTAATGTTTAACTGCATCAATCTTGAATACAGCAGCTTTGAGTAGAAATTAAATTCCGCTTCACCGAGTCGATCTTAGATTCGCAAAATTTCTCAACATTGCAGCATCAACAAAGAAAAACGACCCAAAAAAAGAGGTGAAAAACAACCTGAAGAAAACAAGATGGTTGAGAAGATAAAGAAAAGAAGACATAACAAGAAAAACAACAATGCGAAAGACTAGGCGTAACCGCTGCTTGAGTACAACGATCGCATCAAACGGGGAGTTAAAAATGTCGGAAGGAATCGCTTGATGATCTCAGCATCACCCCAATTTCCGTTGAGTATCTGGGCACGTTTAAGTCGGCTCTTTAGAACGGAAAAAACCTTCTCAATCGGATTAAAATCTGGTGAATACGGAGGCAGATACATGAGGAGCACATGATTCTGCTCGCATATCTCCCGGATCCTCCCACCATGATGAATGCGGTGATTGTCCATCACCAAGACACTGTTCCGGCCGGGATACGGATTCATACAGGGCATCTGATGTATGCCTAAAATGTCAGAGAAAATAGAGACCAGATTAATAAATGAAGAGCTCAAATGACTTACCAATACTTCCTCAAGGAAGTACTCAAAATCCAAGCGAGTCATTGAACCCGCTTGCGCTATCGAGCATAATAAGCCATCAAGTGAGACAGCAGGCATAAGATTGATCCGAATTGCATCATGTCGGCGAGGAATACGAGTCGTTCGACGTCCCTTCCGAGCCCAGGCGTGAGTACGACGATGAGTATCCTGCGATACACCGGCTTCATCTAATCAAACATAAGTTTTTTTTTGTTAGCTACTTATCTTCAGCTCACAACCCAAACAGACTGCAACACACCAGTGAAAACCAGGAACTCCGACGGAATCTGCGCAATTGCGCAGATGTAATTGGCCCGCCGGATTGCCGATTGGGAGGGGTGAACCGTTGCCGCAACCTTCCTAGTAAGCTGTAAACGATGTCGGAGGTCGTCGTAAATCGTTGTAAGGGGATGAAGAACACCAGTCATCGCCTCAATGTGCACTTGAATTTCGTCAAGGTACAATGTTGGCTGGTGTTCAAGGACATCCAGAATAAACTCGCGCTCCTCGCTATCGATTGCCAGAGGCCGGCCACGATCTTCGTATGTTGAAGGGTCCCTGACCACGTTTCGGGTGCGGATGTAAAGCGACATCCAGCGATTCATGGTCTTCCGATGGATTTTGAAATCCAGATCATTGTTGATATCACTTATGGTTCGGCGGGCCATCAACCAACGCACGACTAGGGCCTTAATTTGAGAGTCATATCTGCATAACGGAGGAATGTCAGATTATCGAGGAAAGGAACAGAACGATTGATTTGATCTAAAAAAAACCTACTGTACATAAACCATGGCTTCTTGTGAAGGGTCGATCGGATAGGCCAAGGATGAGCGGTTTGTTTGTAATTTGAATGCTGAAAGGCTGGGATGTGATAGATCGATTGGTCGATCGGAAGCTGGCAGGATTGGATGGATGGATTGCCTGGCGGGTGGGTGGTGAAGCCGGCCGGGATTTGACCGACTGGCCATGAACTAAAGCCGGCCGGGATTTGACCGACTGGTCGTGAGCATGAGAACTCAGTTGATGGCATTTGAAATATGCTTTTGTGTATTTGCATATTTGAAATTATATGTACATACAAAGGAGCAAGAAAAAAAAAAAAAAAATCGACAGGGAAGGACAAGCTTTTCCGAAATAGCTGTATGTGGAAATGAAAAAAAAAATGAACCACTCACTCAAAACCTTAGTGATTACAATTTTGAACTCTACACATCTGTAGAAGTTCAAAATTGTAATAAAATTAAGTATCAGGGCACATGCCCCCCGGGGCATAGGCCCCGCGTGTCCAATTTGGATTTTGCGGGCGGGGCATGGTCGGTCTATGCCGTACGCAACTGTACTATTTTATGTTTGGATGGAAATGGAACGTACCGATGAGCTGGGTGTTTTCCCAGCATCCGAAGCGTCTTTCTTCCCTAACTTATCTAAGTCCCTCTTAATTCGGAGGGGGGACGCCGTCCCGCAGGGACCCTCCGAAGGAGGGACTTATGCGCTAAGTCGCCTTGCTTGCCCACGAGGATTAAAAAAAAGCGGCTTTTTTTTTAAAGCTATCTACAAGTCCCCTCACACGATCAAGCCCGTGTAAGTCGCCCACCAAAAGAAGCGGCAGATCTGGGAGAATGTGATCGGCCTCATCATAAGGTCGGGGGGCAGCAGTTTGTTCTTTGATCACCATCTGCTTGATTTGCCGGCATTTTATGGATTTCGGGTCAATTCTGTATGGACCGCCACCTCTGACATGATGATACTCCGGGTCAGCCGCATAGAATACAGCTGGTCGGACATCACCGGCCCGAGCCATAATAGCAGGCCTGTTATAATGGCTATACACCAAATAACAGGCCAATCCATTTGAATCCAAAACAAGTATCTCATTCTCTTGATCGATGGGATTACTCGAAGAGATCGCCGAGGTGGGCAAGCCGAACAAATTGTAAGAATGATTGGCGATTGATCACAAGTTGGGCAAAACCGCTTTGTGGAGGGGAATGCTGATCGCGAAGGATAGGACACCCTTTATATGGTGAAGGATCGAGGTGCCATCTTCCTAGGCGGTTGTCATCCCCTTGCCCCATGGCCTGTTGCCGACCTCCTTGGGCTGGGTCCTCACACATGATTGATGTCCCGTGTGATGTGGCGCCGGTGTCATTTCATCATCACACATTATACCAGCCCATGGGTTACTGAGAATGAAACCCCATGGCGGTCATGTATCTCCCCATACAATGTACTTTCGCCGAGACAGGCGCCTTGCATCGAAGACAGTGGAATGTGGTCCCAACTCATAACCCATATTTGATAGGGACCCAAAATGACAATGAGGAACAGCGCGCAAACCATGGAGGTTGGGGGGAAGCTGTGAGGCTGAGCACATGCGCCTGACTGCCGCCTCTATGGTGGTCCAAACCACGGAGCAAAATCTTTGAGAATGACGGAGTCAGCTGTGTTTTAAAATTTTCCACAGCCAACTGCCTAATACTCATGGGCCGCGTGGGCGACTTAGCCCATAAGTCCCTCCTTCGGAGGGTCCCTGCGGGACGGCGTCCCCCCTCCGAAAAAAGGAGGGACTTAGTTAAGTTAGCTTTCTTCCAGAGTCCACCATATCCAGGGTAACCGGGGTAGCTGAGCAGAGAATTGTAGGGCAAATAGGCGGAAGCGCCATACAAAGACCAAGGGTAGCTAAGTGAGTTGAAGGAATACATGCCGCCTCCGAAACACGAGTAGGAGTAAACGCCCCAGCACTTCTCGTCGGAGTGGCCTTTGGTAGCCGTAGTGTCTGCTCGAGGTGCAATAGTTGGCCCGGCCAACGCCGACTGAAGGACGGCCAAGAAGCAAGCAAGGTAAAAGAGGCAGTGCATGGTGGTTGCGGTTTTTTTGGGGGTTGGTTGGATTTTGAGGCTGTTGGGTTGAGTGTTTGTGGTTGTGTTGGTTGAGATGGAGTGATGGATGAGTGAGGATAGACTGGAGGCCGATCCTAGCAGTCCTTAAATAGATTTGTCGATGGCCCTCGACTTGCTCTTCTCCTTGCACCATAGTCTCTGGCTCCTTCACTTCTCCACTTGCACGATGAACTCGTACTTTGCTGAGAGCCTGAGCTTGAGGGCTGGCGTAGATAATCCATCGTCCATGTCCGGCTATCTCTGGGCGACATGCTGGCTTCCTCTACGACTCCCATGGTGTTAAGGGATGGGCACTTTCACATACATAGATAGATACTTGTGCGAATTTCTGCTTGAACCAAATTTCTCAGCCGCAGACTTGGCAAACCAGAGCCGGCACACAATTGATCTCATGAGACTCGTGAGGTGAAGCGGGGCTCTTCAGGCTAAGGAGGCCTAGGAGAAGAGAGGCGCGTGAAAAGATGCTGAAACGAGCTGAACTCTGAATTTCTAGAAGAAAGAGCAGAGAACTGGGGAAGAAACCCCTACAACAAAGAGGCCAATTATATATTGGCCTCGAACAACGAAAACAAGGAAACTGACAGGGCCACTAAGGGGCGTGACTGGACTACACGGTACAGGAACAAGCCCCTGCGGCTACGAGATGACGAAAGAGAGAAGGAATGCCTCTTTCGGCATGAAATGAGCGAGCCTCCTGCGTTACGCAGGGGGGTCGCGAGTTCTACTCACCTCTGTGAGGCTTCTGAGCGGCCATCGGCCCCTGGCTCCTTGTAGCACGGCTACAACATCCCCCCCTCTAAACGGGGGCTGTCCCAGGCCCCGAGGGCGGCGGTCCCAGCCGTAGCCGGAGCCGTCTCGGAGGCAACGCTGGACGAGGAGCCGGTGGTGCCGGTGCAGCTTTGGCTGGTGCCGGTTTCTTTCTGGTGGTCTTGGCAACTGCCTTGGCCTTCTTAATAACTTCTCGTGCCGCTTTCACAACGGCCCGCTTTTCTCGTAGTGCGATAGCGGGAGGAGAGGCCCACATATCGTTAGTAATGAGAGAACGCAACGCTACGGGACGAAGACTGTTCCCGTTCACCGGTCTTGGGTACTCGACCCCTTCGTGATCAACAATAATGTAAGCATTTTTGTCAAGGACC